CTTTTAAAGTCCTTCAAGAATTAGGAATAAATATAACACAGTGGCAGGAACTGCTACACCTCTGTTCTTTTTGTTATTTATCAACCTCATAAGATGCAGATTAACTGTTGGAAGTGATCTTGTAAGTCATCTAGTCCAACCCCCCCCCCCCTACATCTTTTCTGACAGTTGGCAGTCTAGTCTCTTGAAAGCTTCCAGTGATGAAGCTCCCACAACTTCTGAGGAAATTTATGTTCCATTGGTTGATTGCTTTCACTGTCAGAAAATCTCTCCTTATTTCCAGGTTGAAGAGCAACAAAGATGATTAGGGGACTGGAGATTAAAACATACGAAGAACGGTTGCAGGAACTGGGTATGTCTAGTTTAATGAAAAGAAGGACTAGGGGAGACATGATAGCAGTGCTCCAATATCTCAGGGGTTGCCANTTTTTCCCATTTGTCTAATTCAATATTATAGCCAAAGTTCTGTGCCCATTTTATCATTTGTTCTTTTACGATTTCTTCTTCCAGTTTATACTTCAGGAGAAATTTATATATTCTCCCTATCATCTTTCTATCTGAACTTTGAATTATTTTATTCAATTTGTGTAGTTTCATTTCGATGCCATATAATTTAGTATCATCATTGTGTTTAGTTTTGATTTGCAAGTAGGTTAGCCAGTCAACTTTCATGTTTTGTTCTGCTAATTCTTCAATTGTTTTTATATTTCCCTGTCCGTTAATTAAGTCTCTGTATCTTAGCATTTTGTTCATATCTATAAAATTTGGATGGATCGTCGTTTTGGTCGGGGATAGCCAGTTCGGGATTTTCACATAATGGATTTTTAAAATTTTGAGTCAGTTTTGCAATAACACTTTTCTAATTAGATGTTTTTGATAGTATTTGTGTGTTTTATTTTTATCATTCCATAGGAATGTGTGCCAACCTGCTTGCAAATCATGGCCTTCTAAGATCAAAATTCTTTTATTCTTTAGCTCTATCCAATGCTTTACCCATGTTATTATTACTACTAACGTGTTCAATTCCCAATTTGGTAATTCTAACCTAACCTAACTCCTTGCTGCCTTGCATTGACTTTAGTTCCATCCTCGCTTTTCATCCTTACCAGATGAACCTAGCAGTTCTTTTGTTTAATTCTTGAAAGAATCGTTTACCCAAATTAATAGGTGCAGCTTGCAACAAAAATAAGATTCTCGGTATAATATTCATTTTAACTGTGGCTATGCATTGCATTAGTGATAGCTGAATAGTTTTCCAGCTTTCTAAATCTTTCTTTATTTGTGTCACTAGTTTATTGTAATTATCGTTTTTAATTGTAGAACATTTTGCCGACACCCAGATCCCCAAGTATTTCACTTTCTTAGTTATTTGCATTTTGGTTGCTAATTCCAGTTCCTCTTTTTGCTTTGTTGTCATATTCTTGGTTATCATTTTTGTTTTGCTTTTATTGATTTTTAATCCTGCCACTTAGCCATATTCTTCTAATTTTTGAATTAATTTCAGATTGGATTCTAATGGATCCTCTAGAACAAATACTAAGTCATCGGCATAGGCTTGGATCTTATATTCTTCATTTTTGAGTCTTAAACCTTTTATTCCCTGGTCCTTCCTAATTTCATTTAATAATATTTCCAAGGTTAATATAAACAGCAAAAGAGAGAAGGGGCATCCCTGTCTAACTCCTTTTTTTATTTCAATCTTCTCTGTTAGTTCTCCGTTCATCAGAACTTTGGCTGTCTGACTGTTATAAAGTTTTTCTATCATTTTTGTAAATTTGTCTCTGAATTTCATCCTATATAATTGTGTTATTATAAATTTCCAAATTACATTATCAAATGCTTTTTGTGCGTC